GGCCTATTTGAGTACAGAACTATTGGCAGTTCTTGGGTTTTCTACACAAAGACTGAAAGATGCTTTTGTGAAACTATCTCTGAATTCTTTCGGTTCAGTTCAAGGGCCATGATGTAGCCCACAGTCATTAGTATTTGCACACTTTTCTCTTTTGTGCTCTTTAAAACTTTACTTGTTGTTTCATGCTTTCATATTCTTAGGAGTTTAACTTTTTCACACAATAGATGGAGGGAGATGACACAAGTTGACTGCTACGAATACAGACATTTATTTGAACAAAAACAGAATATAACCCTCCAAGGAGTCCATCGCCTTTGTCAGAGCTGGAGAGCAGCCAAACCCCACCAAGAGGTCATCATCTGCAGGTATCCTGACCTCGGCACGGGACTGGCAGCCACATTGCAGCCACTATCCTGCGACCAGACATTGTCCTTGTGTCTGAGTCAACCAAACAAGCTGTGCTGCTGGAGCTGACAGTCCCATGGGAAGATCTGTTGGAAGAAACCTTTGAAAGCAAGCTCTCCAAATACGCGGGACTGGTCAGCAACTGTCAGCAGGCTGGATGGAAAGCAAGGTGTCTCCCAGTAGAAGCTGTGTGCAGGGGTTTTGGAGCCTGTTTGCTAGAAAGAGCTTTCAGCAGTTTGGGCATTGAAGGAGAGACCAGCTAGCAGGTAGACCCCTATCATTTCTCGGTCCCCTGGCAGCCAATATTAAAACAACAGCTAAAAATCTAGGCGTCACATTCGATCCCCATCTAAACTTCAAAACACGTTAATCAAATCATTAAATCTTGCTACTTCCATCTACAACACATTTTGAAAATCAAATTGGTTCTATCCCTCACTGATATAGAAAAGGTAATACATGCCTGGATGATTGCAACGCCCTGTATGCATGCCTTAGCCAAAACCTGGTAACTCGTTTGCAGCTTGTTCAGAACACTGCTGCTCGTATTTTAACAAAAACTGACCGTAGGGCTCATATCACGCCAATTCTTTCATCCCTTCATTGGTTACCAGTTAAATTCAGGGTTGATTTTAAGATTCTTCTAACAACTTTTAATGCCCAACATGGGCTGGCCCCAACCTACATTTCGCAGCTCTTGACTCCTTATAATCCTGGTCGTAACCTGAGATTGGCTAGCGTGTCCCTGTTAGCTATCCCTAAGTCAAGGCTGGCCACTCAAGGTGACCGGATGTTTTCTGTCAGGGCCCTGAGGCTCTGGAACTCCCTGCTGGATGAGATTAGGCTCGCAAACTCAATACCGATCTTTAAATCACTACTCAAAACTTATTTTTAAAGGAAAGCATTTCTAACATGCGACCTGTAATTACTTTCACTACAATAATGAGACTTCACGTATGATGTTCTTGAGGTCCCTCTCCCCTCCCATGACCCCACCACCCCATCTTTCTCTCTCTATTCTACTCCTTCATTCCCACCCACCTCCTCTTTCCCCATTTTTCTGCGCTCACCTCAACCGGTCGAGGCAGATGGACGTCCACATGAGTCTGGTTCTGCCAGAGGTTTCTCCCAGTTAAAGAGGGAGTTTTTCCTCTCCACAGTTGCCAAAGGGCTTGCTCATTGTGGGAACTGTTGGGTTTAATATGACAGCTTCTGACTCTGCTACCTATGAGAGTATAGGTATAAAAACAAATAAATAGAATAAAAAAGGCACAGAGGTAATGACGTCTGATCTACTGAGCGGGCCACATGACTTTAATAGCACTGCCATTTAAGCCAGTAGCCATTCAGATTTACCTTTAGCCTCTCTCAACATTATTGTGAGTAATAGGCTGAAACACTTGATGACACCAACGTACAATTGATGTTACTATTTTCATTACAACAGCCACTCTTACAAAGCTCAAATGTGATGGTTAAACTCAA